GAGCAAATTTATACGCTCAGGATGATCTTCAGGTCCCTTGAAACTCAAGGCACTTAGCATTTCTCTGTAGGCTAGTTCCGAACCCTGCTTTTTGCTATAAGTTTCTATTGGAAAATTTTTTTCAGGTTCAGTTTCAAGCAAATGCTTGACAGCTTCCTCGATTTCGACTATATGCTCAGGTTGAAGCATAATAGGGCGCCATAGACTAATGAACAATTATATAAAAGTATTTTACATAGATTTTCCCTCTGAATGCAAGAGTTCGACCTGTAAAAGAATGTTAGCCTTAAAAAACCACATACTTGTGAAGGATCACAGGGGAGAAGGTCAACTAAATAAGAGCAGCTAGAGAAGAATTTTATAAAGCTGTACCATCACTTGTAGAATCACCAGAAGCCGCAGCGGCAGCGATGATGAGATTATCTATATCATTATTCTTGTCCAGAGGATCGATAGTGTTATCAGTGTCCATCATAATTTGAGGAATAAACCTAAAGTAAAAATAGTTAAATTGAAGTAAATAATAAATTAAGTAAATAATATTCAAGATAATAGCTATTTTCCAAATTTTATTGGCTACAAAATAAATAGAAAAATCACCTTATAGAACAAAAGCATATGATGTACAAACAGCAAAAGTGCCCGCCTGAGCCAATATAATGATTGCTTAAAACGAAAACAATTGTTAAATTTTAAATGAATAAGATTTTACTTTTAGAATATTTTGTTATTCATATTAAATTAAGTATTTTTAAGGTAATGATTGTCTGGATTGTGCTTACTTTTTTTAGCTTATCTTAATAAACAATATCCTAAAATTGGAACCGTACATAATCTAGTTCGTATGAGGAGATGGATGACTGATAATTGGATTTTTTTAATGATGTGGGTATAATTTAATATGAAATCTAATTTTACGTAGCCTTGCATACCTAAAGGATATCTCATTTAAGATAGAGAGCAGTATTGCACCCGCCCATGATTCGTCAGAAACCGCTCCATAAGACTATACTTTTCTGTAGGCCCTAGGAAAGACTACAGAATGGCATTTACGCACTTATATAAAATGGGAATCTGCTTGAAGTCAGACCACATGGTTTGGGGTAATCTGAAGTAAGACATGAAGAAGATTGCCATACCCAAAGCAAAAGCCCTTAGGTGGCGGTACTTTTTCTATATAAAGCATGACTTGGGCTCTAACTCTCTAATATTTTTGATCCTACAATGTTGAGGCATGTGATCGTATTCTTTTAGACATGTTTGGTGTGCATGCCATGGTCGTCAGATGAGTGGGTATGTAAGTGTGATTAGGATTTGGGGCTAATCAAGACTCATCCTCTCACTTGCCGGTATTTAAAGCTTCCTCTCTCACTGACTATATCAAGAGACACAAACACTTCTTGCTAAATTTTCTATACTTATACCTTATATTCAGGGGGTTGGCTGTTTTACCGATTTCTATAGATTCACCCATCTTTCGCTCAATGAAACAATTTTTACATTTCGCTAAGCATTTATTATTATACCATTCTATCGTGTGCCAATTGCAAGTCACCTGTTTTCCAGTTTTGATTTGTGGATTCACAACATTTTCCGGACTATTTTGTTGAATTAACCTCTATGCCTGTGTTGGCAAGTCTCCCCACTATAGATGTTACCAATGAACATAAAACAGTATAGCAGCTAGATTTGGAGTGAGGGTCCAAAAATTATCGAAGAGATAGAATCACAGATGAAATTATTATTTTCTTGTTATACATTGTTTTGATGTTCCATTTTTTCAGTAATTCACATATCTTTCGAGAGAGCTGTCAGGATGAGATGCTCCCCATTATCCTATTTGCTAAGATTTTTTTAATTAATAACCAATTAATCCTAATGAATAATCGCTTTCAACTAAACTTTCATCTAATCTTCTCAATGCTTAACATCTGCAAGATGCAGGATCTTATTATCACGAATTTCATAATCTCTTATCTAATTCCATAAGTATGGTTTGAAAATAAATTTAAAATGAACCTCGAATTTGTGGGTTTTCTATATAGAATTTCTATCTAGTGTGATGTTAGAATACCTTTCTTTTCGTTTGAAGAGGCTAATGGAGGGGATTCTTAATTTGGCCCCACCGGAAGCTGTAGGGGATTACCTTGGAGCTGTAATAGTAGATTTGCGCAAATAGTTACGCAACGCTCCGCCCTGCGACTCCGTTGAATCCTTGCTTAGCTTTCGTCCATCGTGTAGCGGACATCGCCAGAGTAGGATACCGTGCCTTATGATAATTCATCGAAACACGAAGACAAGGAAGGTGGCCGGCTGCAAACTTACCTAGTTCTTATAGTCAAACTTAATTGACGTAATGAGGCATCTCATAATTTAGTTGGATATCCTAAGCTATTCCTACATGTTTGGGAAAAAAGTGAAGTGTATGCTAAGTATATTAGGGTTTAGACGAATCTCTTATTTATATTTGTTGGACTTACTCCCATCTCGAGTGAAAGTGTATGGTGAAAGTTTTCGAAGGTACATATACTAACATATGAAGGTACATAAACACACATGCAGACAGACACACTCACACACATTAATGTTGACGTACGATTTGGACTAGATGAGCATAACTAAAGAAAGTGTCATAGTTCCCGTGAAAACCCTTCCTATTTCCAACTTCCTTTCTAGATCATCTATCTTTTTAAAGAGAATGCACATCAAAGAGCTTTTATATAGGGTAGTTATTTAGCATTTAGGGATGAGTCGGTGAGTCTTATTGTCTCGTTGGCTTGAATATGGTTTAAAGAATGATACCTTACTTAGACCGTTTTCATCGGATGAGATTGCCTCGGAAACAGCGTCAACAAGAATTTCCCAGTAAAATTAATTGAATACTGGTCAAAATCCACCGTCATCTTCTGGTCGGATCGAACTTGAATTTCTTCAGAAAAACTTTCATTCAAAATGAAGTGGTTGCAGATGAAGTGTGAAACGGATGCAATTATGACTGAACAGCTGCATTCCTCATAAAACACCAATATTTTTGATCCTGCCATTTTACCTCAAGTGATTATGTTCAATTGTGCGCGTGCTGTATGAATGCATTGCGTGAGAAGTGAGGGTCAAAACAAGATTCTAGGCTACAAAA